GCCTGGCCGTTGCGCCCCTCCCCTGAGGGTCTCCGGCCTGGAGCGCTTGATCCTCTCTGTGGGAGCACTCTGGAATTTTTTGATTTTTTTGATTTTTTTCATTTTTTGGATTTTTTTGAAAAATGCAAAAAAAACAAAAAAAACTCATTTTTTTAATTTTTAGTTTTTTCGAAAATGCAAAAAAATCAAAAAATTCAAAAAAAACTAAAAAATCAAAAAAATCCTGGTCCCCCCGGTCCCTGGGAGGCGATGCCTGGCCGTTGCGCCCCTCCCCTGAGGGTCTCCGGCCTGGAGCGCTTGATCCTCTCTGTGGGAGCACTCTGGATTTTTTTGATTTTTGTGATTTTTTTCATTTTTTGGAGTTTTTTGAAAAAGGCAAAAAAATCAAAAAAACTCAATTTTTTTCATTTCTTGAATTTTTTCGAAAAGGCAAAAAAAAATCAAAAAATTCAAAAAAACGAAAAAAACCCAAAAAAATCATGGTCCCCCCGGTCCCTGGGAGGCGATGCCTGGCCGTTGCGCCCCTCCCCTGAGGGTCTCCGGCCTGGAGCGCTTGATCCTCCCTGTGGGAGCACCCTGGATTTTTTTGATCTTTTTAATTTTTTCATTTTTTTGAGTTTTTTAAAAAAGGCAAAAAATCAAAAAAACTCAATTTTTTTTCATTTATTGAATTTTTTCAAAAAGGCAAAAAAAATCAAAAAAAATCAAAAAAATCAAAAAAACGAAAAAAATCAAAAAAATCCTGGTCCCCCCGGTCCCTGGGAGGCGATGCCTGGCCGTTGCGCCCCTCCCCTGAGGGTCTCCGGCCTGGAGCGCTTGATCCTCTCTGTGGGAGCACCCTGGATTTTTTTGATTTTTTTCATTTTTTTGAGTTTTTTGAAAAAGGCAAAAAAATCAAAAAACTCAAAAAAACTTTTTTGATTTTTTTGAATTTTTTCAAAAAGGCAAAAAAATCAAAAAACTCAAAAAATTCAAAAAAATCAAAAAATCCTGGATCACCCGGTCCCTGGGAGGCGATGCCTGGCCGTTGCGCCCCTCCCCTGAGGGTCTCCGGCCTGGAGCGCTTGATCCTCCCTGTGGGAGCACCCTGGATTTTTTGATTTTTTTTCCATTTTTTCATTTTTTGATTTTTTTGAAAAAGGCCCCCGGGTCTCTGGGACAAGACCGACCAGGTCTATTTGGAAGATGCCTTCTTCTTTTCATAATTACATGTAAGTGTATATTTCCCTTATTAAAGACATAAGAAGGAGCTTCCAAATAGACCCGGTTTTGCTCACACCCCCCCCCCCCCCCCCCCCCCAATGGTATCCTCCCCCCCCCCCACGCTCCCCAAGCCGAATCTGTGTGTGCACACGCCAAGCAGACCCACGCAGGAAACCCAAACCACACCACACCACAGGGGGGAGTGGGGTAACCAGCCTAAGCAGACCCACTCCCGAACCACACCACACCAAACGGAGGGGGAAGCAACCCACAACCACACCACACCACAGCAGACCCACGCAGGAAACCCAAACCACACCACACCACAGGGGGAAGTGGGGTAACCAGCCTAAGCAGACCCACCCCCGAACCACACCACACCACACCACAGGGAGGGGGAAGCAACCCACAACCACGCCACACCACAGCAGACCCATGCAGGAAACCCAAACCACGCCACACCACAGGGGGGAGTGTGGTAACCAGCCTAAGCAGACCCACTCCCGAACCACACCACACCACACCACAGGCAGAGGCAAGCAACCCACAACCACACCACACCACAGGGGGGGGAGGAGGAACCATTGGGGGGGGGGGGGGGGATACCATTGGGGGGGGGGGGGGTCGGTGAACCGAGAACCGGGATCATATATATATATATATATATATATATGTGTGTGTGTGTCTACAAACAAGATATCTGTGCATATTCATACATACATACAGATTAATATGCACACATACTCATTTATATATACACACACACAGTCACATACCTCAGGTGCCCACAGTCCCGTGCTTTTGAGGCAAGCCATCAATGCAACACAGCCCATAAGTCATGCAATCACGACCTTCCCCGACCTCCTCCATGACACGCCGAAATATGGGAACTATAGCAATTTTTTGACCACACGCAATAAAGAAAGGGGAAAACTGAACTCATGTCACAAACAAAACCCATGGTGTCATTACGGCCTTCATAATAGAACGTGTGACCTTATTGCATTTCTTCTGCTGCAACATGAACTGCATGTTATTAAATGATACGATGGTCACACATATGATGCTGCTAATGGAGATGACGGCTATTGTTGTTGATGCTGTTTTTGTTCCTCTAGCTAGCGTGGCCAGGCTACGCCTACGCCTGTGTCGGACAAGGCGCAGGCGAACACGGTAGCTGTTTTGGCATGGGAACACAGGCAATTCCTTCAAACACCTATTGACTCGTGTGTCGTTGTGGCCTGCCCTTGATGTCTGCCGAGTCTAATGGTTGTGCAAACAAAGAACCGAACACACCGACGGCGGCTTTGGTGACCATCACCTTTTACGTATACTGCGCTGAAACCGAATGCTCTGCTTTGCTATTGTCTCATTACTCCATTCGTGGCAGGTGTATCATCGTAAATACGAAACACATTCTTATGCAAAACCAAAACTGTAAACCAAACAAGTTGTAAGAACATACCAATCCAGGTGGCACGAGCAGGGAAGCTATAAACTCATATCGGTGGAAAGTCATTCGTTTGTTTGAATTACCAGCGGTCAGTGTTCATCTACTTGTGATTTCTAGTTACAGGATATTTGCTTAATGCTGAACCTTTGCGAGTTTGAATGCTCGCGGCTGCCCTTGGCTTAGCAAAGGGTATTTACATACCATGCCATCGAAGTCACTATCACCATCGTCATCAGCAGCAGCGGAACCATTATCATAACCATCAACATCATCAACATCATGATCAGTAGCATCACTATCACCTTCTTCAAGAGAAAGATCATGACCATCATCATCGTCGTCATCAACATCATCATCATCAAACATTATCACCGTCATGATCGTCGTGTTCATCAGCAGCGGCAATACCATCCATCCGCATCGTCACCCCCAGCATCATCAGCAGTAGAGAAGCGAACAGAATGGAGGTATGAGAATCAAAACTTCAAGCGCAAAGTGGGAGTTGGTGCCTGCTTCCGCTGCCGAGCAGTCATCGATGGCCGCTCGGGTGGCACCTGTTCCACACTTCAGGCTGTCAAGGTCAAAAGAAAACCCGGAACCTGCTATTATTGGGCCAAAACTAAGACTATCAACAAGATCTTCGGTAGAAGACCTGCGGTTCGGCTAAGACCATGCTGTGCCATGACATGAATGCCGCGAAGACACTGCCTCAAAGCCTTTACCGTCCATACCCGCTGATCTTTAGGTCTTTGTTGGTTTTGGCTCCGAGGTCACAAAAACTCTTGAAGTCTATAGCTCATGATGTATTGGATCTGCCAGGGCCCCTGCGGTAGCTTGCCAAATCAGTGCCATTGTTGCACAAGACACTGCAGCAGGTGATCTTCCAGACCCCAAGACGTGAGGTTTCAGCGATGTGATTCAGTTGAATGTGGTCATGGCGCAATTCTGCGCACTTCGGCTGTCTGGTTGGTTTGAGCATCCAGTTCTCGGTGTGTACATCCTCGGCCTAAGAAGCTTCAGACTTAAGAAAGCCTTGCTCAGACCCTACAATCACTCTTCGTGTTCAGAAGCGAAGAAATGGTGCCGCAAGCATCTATAGCCTCCCTGGAGCCAGCACGCAAAGTGAGGAAGCAGTAGTAGTAGTAGCAGTAGCAGTAGCAGTAGCAGTAGCAGTAGCAGTAGCAGTAGCAGTAGTAGTAGTAGTAGTAGTAGTAGTAGTAGTAGTAGTAGTAGCAGTAGCAGTAGCAGTAGCAGTAGCAGTAGCAGTAGTAGTAGTAGTAGCAGTAGTAGTAGTAGTAGTAGTAGTAGTAGCAGTAGCAGTAGAATGACAAGCAGAAGTAGCACTCCCTCTAGCACTCGCACTGGCACAAGCATATTTGCTTATGGCGGTAGCAGCAGCAGCGGCAGCAGGAGCAGGAGTGGTAGGAGCAGTAGCAGTAGCAGTAGCAGTAGCAGCAGTAGCAGTAGCAGCAGTAGCAGTAGCAGTAGTAGCAGTAGCAGTAGCAATAGCAGTAGCAGTAGCAGTAGCAGTAGCAGTAGCAGCAGTAGCAGTAGTAGTAGCAGTAGGAGCAGTAGGAGCAGTAGCAGTAGCAGTAGCAGTAGCAGTAGCAGTAGCAGTAGCAGTAGCAGTAGCAGTAGCAGTAGCAGTAGCAGCAGTAGCAGTAGCCGTAGCAGTAGCAGTAGTAGTAGTAGTAGTAGTAGTAGTAGTAGTAGTAGTAGTAGTAGTAGTAGTAGTAGTAGTAGTAGTAGTAGTAGTAGTAGTAGTAGTAGTAGTAGTAGTAGTAGTAGTAGTACTAGCAGTAGCAGTAGCAGGAGCAGCAGCAGCAGTAGTAGCAGCAGCAGCACAAACTGCGTGCAAACTACCACTGCTACCCACAGCACCCCGAGAACTACCACCACTTAGTAGTGCGACTGACACTGGTACTACCGCTGCTGTTGCGGCGCTTCAAGGACGACGACGACTTTGACAGTAAGCCTTGCTCCTCGCTGCAGCACGCCCTCCATTCAAGGCAGAGGGCAAACTCTGGAAAAACCACGATGGCAGAGCTACCTGACTGCGCTGGAGGGGTTTCCCCAAGAGCAATCTTTGCATACCATGCTTCGCACGATGCAGTGCTCAAAATTGGCGGAGGGAGGACGGGAGGACCTCGGAAGATAAACAAACAACCCGGAAAGCACGCAAGGCCAGAGCCGCATTTGCTTTCGGGACCGTCAATGAGGTCGAAGACTTCTTCTCCACTCCTGAACAAACTCATCGGCTGCACTGTAGCTTTAGAGCAACCGGAAGCGCAACAAAGCCCTAGCGTGCTCAACCTACGGAACGAACATCTCGTCAAAGTCGCACTCAAATGCTGAAGGATGACCGTCTGGCTAAAGCGTACTGGTGGCAGTCATTCTCCAGTTCCGAGGCAGCGGCAAACATGTCTCGCAGTAAGGGCAAATACCCATCAAAATGCTCCTGCAGCTCCGTGCCGCTCTCCGTGTGGTACATGCTGCGGCTCGGGAAATACTTCTCAGTGTCAGCATCCGCACGCTGAAGCATCTCTTCTGCCCGCGAGGACGAACACAGGTCCCCATCTCGTTTTATGCTACTTAGCCTCCAATAAATACCGAGAAGAACATCCCTGATCTTATGGCGGTCGCACGGCATGTTGTCTGGGTGCTTCCGGCTGCAGCACGTGAAGGAGCCACCGAGCACGTGGAGTACATTCTGATCCGCGAGAGAGTCGTCGGCATCTCCACTTCTCAGGCCGCTGTCATCGCAGATGTATGTGGTCGGATCCTTTGACCTCCTGCCGGACCCGGTCTTGTAGCTCAGCAACTCAAGCCTGCACCACCCACGCGAACCGTAGGTCTGCAAATTGACCTCTGCGCCCGTGTCTACGTGCGTGCAGGTAGGAGCCACAGCCACCAGCACTGAGCACCGAGAAGCGTAGACGGACAAGGAGTTGACAGCTGCCTGCTGCTGAAACTCGTTCACCTCGGTGGGACGATAACCGAAACCAAGGTGGCGGTGGTGGTGGTGGTGGTGGTGGTGGTGGTGGTGGTGGTGGTGGTGGTGGCGCTGCTGCTGCGGGATGGTGGGGGTGGGGGCGGGGCCGGTGCGAGAAAAACAGTGACAAGGAGGAATCACAAAATGATAAGCCGAAACTTGTATGGTGACCTGAGGAATGGATGTGTAGTCCACCCAGATGTAGCCACAAGCGACTCCCCTCTCCTGAAACGCTTGCAGGGCCACCAGTATGGCTCGATACTGCACCTCGGCTGTTCAGCGACCTACAAGTAGCGACCAAAACATGCAGAGCGCGCGTCGTGCGTTCTTGAGGACTCTTCAGAGGCACACCCTCGGGGTCAGGGTGGTCGAAACCAGCCCATTGATGACTCACGAAGACCGTGCCCAACGACGCTGACACCTGCCAGGCTGCCAGGCGCTCTAAACTCCAAGCTCTTGCGTTCTCATGCCAAGCTATACTATACGAGGACTCCTGGTCCTGAAGAAACAATAGCGGTAAAGCCGGGAACCACAGACAAGGCTATGTAATTCACAGCCTTTTCCGCATGATAGTGAGTCCTTTATGACAAGCGCCAGCCCTAGACTGGTCAAACTCAGCCTTGAAGGCTCTTCAGCAAATAGAGATTGAAAAGACTGGCCTCGTCGGCCTCTTGCGGCAGGTCGAAGCACCGCAACTGCCCAGCTTCCCGCGCGAGTTCATGGCGAACCTTCGCGACTTTGAAGGCCCAGACGCTGTGGGGATAATAGTTAGGCGTTTATCAAGGCTGATAGCTTAGGGCTTAAGGCTTTGGAGGATTCACCTTCGCCCAAAAAGTCTGCGGACAATGCCAGCCAGAATGAAGCCTGGGTTCTTAGCCAGAAGCAAGGGAAATATGCCGCCGGTAGGGGGTCTTGGTGGTCACATGCTGGTTCCTAGGGTTCTCTGGCGTCTACTGGTGGATGTCGTCGTGGTCTCCTGGTGGCCCTCCCAGTGGTCTCCCGGTGGTCTCCTGGTCGTTGTGGTTGTCGCGGTGATGGTGGTCGTGGTCGTTTTGGTCGTGGTTGTCATGGTCGTCGTTATGTCGTCGTTGTGCTTATCACTGTTTCAGGATCTACTTCGGTGTACGTTCAATTGTCTGGAGAGCTAATCACTTTTCAGCATTGTTGCTGCTCACTGCTCACACCCGTAAACAAATAATAAGTAAACAATAACATCTCAACAGCTCTTGCTCTTGAAAATCCGAAGGGCCAATTGGCCCATCTGTAGAAACTCTGGGAGCTCCACTAAGTACCTCGAGAGACGGATGGTGGCAATCTCAGTGCTTCACGCAGCCGCACCCGGGCCGAAACCGAAGACTAGGGCGACTCGGGGCAGAGCCTAGGGCCCAGGGCTGACTCTGGGGTTGAAGGCAAGTTAGATGCCAGGACACATCGGAAACAGGAAGGTATCCAGGTTTCTCACAGCCCTGCGGATAGATTCGCACTTTTGACGTGTCAAGTGCTTGGCCAGGTCCTGCAGCGCCCTCGCCTGTCGACGTAAGGCGAGGATGATGTTGAACCTCAACTGTTTGAAAATAGTTTTCACCAGGGTCTGTCTGATGATGGGTGGTAGAGGACCGAGGGGGCAGTGTTACCATGACGGGCCACACTTCTACTCACCATGCGAGGATTCGTGCCGACCACTTCTACTCACAGTGACAGGATTTCAGGTCCTAGCTTGAGAAGAACAGCTTCTGCTCGCAGGAAGTCACACCCCAGCTTGACAAGCTTTCAGCGGCAGCCACTACGCTCACCCCGCCCAAAGGTGATTACCCTTCGTCCGTGCCCGCGGGAGGGGCACGGGCGGGGAATCAGGACGTCTGCTTTGTTATACCTCATGGTTGCGCAGTCTTAATGTTCTCCATATTCCATGTTGCGGAGGTTGATGATGGCATTCTCTATTCTTGTTCATGTCATGACATCTCAAACTCTCAAGTTGATTTCCCTTCCAAACTGAAGATCGGGTTATTCCTGTTGCAAAGACCCCTACAGATGAGCACGTGGCCCCAAAAGAACGCCGAGCACTGCCGTCAGTGGCAGCACCAAGAGCAGCTGCCTGGCATTGTGCTTGATGACCAGACTCTTGCACGTGGACACCGACACCCGCAGCGCCTCCAGAAGTCCTCGGAAACCACGGGCCATCCCGCGAGAGGTGCCACCTTCAAAGCTTACCAAAGGTGTTGAACACGAGGGAGAACAAGCTGAGAACTACTATCCCGTTGAATTTCCATCGTTCGCCACCTGCCCATTATCGTCCTCGTCACCATGATCACCACCGTCACCATCGCCAAAACCAGCATCAGCATCCCCATTGCCAGGAGCAGAACCGTGAACGAGAATCGGATAGGAAATCAGAACCAGAGTCAGTCATCAAACTAACCGTCACCCGCAGCAGCAACAACAACAACAACAGCAGCAGCAACAACAACAACAACAACCACGACGACGACAAGTCGGGAAACGAACACTCAGACTCTCTTTGGCACTACCTTCCGGAGCTCGAGCACGCCTTAGGTTGTCAGGCTTCCTTGCAAGTACGTGTTTGACACGTTGGCTTTTTTCCGGCCAGTATAAGCTGATCTGTTGTGCTTGCAGCTTTCGCCGAGAACCTAACCGGCCCTAGGGCCAGCTTCTGACCACTGCTGATATGAAGACGAGTTGCTAGCACTAGTGCCGGCTGTGGTGCTGATAAGTATGGCTTCAAGAATGATTTCAGCCTTAATCTCAGCAGAGACGAGGGTGAGTGCTAGTCAAATCCACACCCATCAATACTGTTGTTGTACATCGAGGAAAAACGAAGGGGGCGAGCCCCAACAGATGCCTTCAAGATCCAGTGCAAGGCAAATTCTTCGACTGCCACGGCCACCTGGCGGAATTAACGATGCTGGGACAATTTTTGTTTCTTCTGCATGCCGGTATTGTACACTCTGGCTCTGACCTGTACTGCCAGACCGACCCTTTTGCACAGAGGGGCAGGTCCACCCTTGCTGTTTGAATGCTCGATGCCATCCAGGACCTACCAGTACCAACCGGGCCTCGAGGTGCACGCGCCTTTTAGTTGGATCACGACAGCTTGTCCCAAATCTTGACAAGCCCTTGAAACATCGATGTCAAATCTGACAAGCAAAATCCCACTCTGGCGCATCTTCACGGCTAGCCACCAAGTTCAGAACAGGCATCTTCTGCAAACATGCCATCATGCGCACTCCCACCTGAACCGCGTCGCTGAGTGAATCGGTGTTGTTAGACTGCAGCCAGATGCCTCCCTGCTCCGCCAGCGTTGGGTGCGGGCTGGGGTCAGAGAGCTCGAAGGCGAACCTCGAAATTGTAAAAGGATGCACTCCATAGATGCTACCTGCACTCACTGCAGTCCAAGCTTCTGTGAGATGCCCGCAACACCAACCTCGCCGCCTTGTACCCCAGTCTCCAACGAGGCCAGCTCGGTTGTCGAGAGGAGGTCCTCCACCTTTTCGAGACTGCAGCTTCCAAGCACTCCGAAGCAGTAGCATTCCAAACATCGCGTATCGAACGAATATGTACATAGGACTTAGTTGCGTAGTTACTAATCCGCGACTGTGAAGCACAGCCTCAAATGCTTAATGCTAGGCACGTATTCATTCAAAATATTGGGTTTTTCAGCTAACTGCAACTTGGTACCACAAGAATCGTTCCATAGTCAAACCCGAAAAAGGTGCTCGGAAACGACATTGTTTAGAGTATGTTGTTTTTTACTGGTTCTGAACGAACTAAGAACCCTAAAAACATGTTACTGAAACTTCTGTTGATGATCTGTTGCAGATGACTGAACATGCACTGAACATCCATTTCATATTAGTTGCATTAAGATTTCCTTGTGCTGCTGCTGGTGCTGGTGATGCTTGGCTGTTGCCGCTGTTGCCGCTGCTGCTGCTGCTGCTGCTGCTGCTGCTGCTGTTGCTGGTGTCAGTTGCTGTTGTTGTCGTTGCAGTTGTTGCTGTTCCAGTTCTTGCTTCTCTTGCCGTCGATGTTGCTGTACTTGCCACTGTGCATACGGGCATACAGTACAGACCAAGGCCGGCTTGGCACGTAGTCCTGAGGAGTCCAATCCCTCACCCCCCCCATTCCTACCCTCGCACGCCCGGGTCCAAGGAATCCCATGTGACTTGGCACACTTCTTCGATCTCGGCCCAAACACACCCGATGCTTGTGACAGTGGACACTTTCCAACCACGACTCCGACATGAGGGCATTTTTGCAGTGCAACCGTCACGAGGATCGCGCTCCTGACAGGTCCGGTTCCTGTGACAGTTGACCCAAGAAAGGAAGAATATGATGATGATCATCATCATCGTCATCATGATCATGACACCAACCAGACGTACACCCCGAGCTACACCATACCGCAGCCCAAAGAGGCCCAAACCGGAACCACACCACGCCACAGGCAGGGGGAGAGAGGAGGAACCCCCAAATCCGAACCACACCACACCACAGAGGGTGGAGGGGTAGCAACCATGGGGAGGGAAGGGGGTTGGAGCTGGGGGGCCGGCCGAACCGTGATCATACAGATTGAAAAACAAAAACAAAAAATATAATATATATATATATATACATACATACATACATACATACATACATACACACACACACACACACATGTACATGCCCATGCAGTTGGGCGGTCCGATTTGCCTTGGCTCCGTGCTTTGTTCAAGCTTTTCACGTGAAATCTTGTGTTGATAAACTTAATGGCCAGAACGAAGGTCTCATGAGGAAACTGGCGCCTGTTTGCTGACTGCGACGGCTTTTGTATTCAATGATTATGAGCCTTTTTAATGTCCATGGTTGTGGTGGTGCTCCTGGCCGCTGCCAGGTAAACTTGCCATAAACACAGCCAGCTCTGTGCCGTGAATGCTGTATTCAACCTCATGACTGCGTAGATCAGATGGCTTTGAAAGCAACGAGACACCGGTGCATCTTATGCCTGCCATCAAGATCAGACTCCGAAACTTTCTACATGCTGAAGGCAAGCGGCTCGAAAGAGCATGGTGGCGAAACCCCAGAAATACGTAGGGCTTCCATCCGAATCCGCTGGCCCTGGAATGGAGCACTCCCGCTCATTCCGCAGCTCAGGGACAGAGCATGTTCGGGTGTAATTCACGCCGTCGCCTCCCATCCACCACTCGTCTGGGAGATACTTCGGCGCATGGCGGGTAAAGATGGGTCGCTGGGCGACTGCCCCGATTCCACCCTGCAACAGCCGGAGAGGCCCGTTCACATATGTCTGCATTGACTGTATAGCCTCAAAGGCTTGCACTCTGCGCGCTGGATCCAGCAGAAGCGAATGGTCGATCACAACACGGTTATCCTGGGTTGACATGATGTCTTTGGGAACGTACTGGTTTGTGGGGTTTGTGGGGATTTTGACATGATGTCGAGCAGCCTAAAAGAAGAAGCCTCTTAAGCACCGAGCGTCTTGGGAATCATCCACCAGGGGAAACACGCAACAAACAGTCCCAAACGGAGCCAGTTGAAGATTGGAGATACCCCTGTACGTTCGGATCAAGGTCTCCGCTAGCTTGTCAAACTCCTCAATGGCCAAGCCATACCTTGGTTTCGGATATTTCATGCTAGCCTGGGGCCGGCCCCACAGCTCCAAAACGAAGGTCCATCTATGTCTCTACTGTCGAGTGTGCTGAAAGGATGAGGACCGGTCACCGGTCGATTTGGATGATGCCCTCGAGCGCTTGCAGGGAACCAACAGAAGTCCGAAGTTGTCGAGTGAGGTCACCGGCCTGCGAGATTTCAAAGCGAAGGTTCCATGTCGAACCCGATCAAACATGACTATGATGATGATGGTGATGGCGGTGGTGGTGCTGATGATGATGATGATGATGATGAAGGTGATGATGAAGGTGATGATGAAGATGATGATGATGATGTTGATGATGATGATGATGATGGTGATGATGATGATGATGATGATGATGAACATGAAGATGCAGATGATGATGTGATGGCGATCATGAAGATGATGACGATGATGTAGATTACGATGTACATGCTGGTGTAGATCATGATGGAGGTGATGACGTGGATGATGACGGTGCAGATATAGAATGTAGAAGTAGATGTGGATGTAGATGACGATAGTTATGATGACTACTTGTATAACAAAGATGATGATGACAAATGACGATGATGCCGAAGGTGATGTAGCCACGAAGGAAATGATGAAAATCATGATCATTGTCATCATCAACATCACCGTCATCACCATCAGGAGCCGGATGCCTATCATGAAATTGATGACAGCGAGGCATCCAACTATCTCGAGGATGCGCCAAAGGGGGCCTGCTGTGTCGGACCAAGGATTGCAAGATTGGATCCCGCCGGCAAACCAGAACAACTCGGTCTACATACTACCTGCTCTGTTGTTGCCTGTGCAGTAGAGATGGGCTGCGGAAATCGGATGCAGCCGAACCCAACAAGCTCCCTCAAACAACAGGGCCTGTGCGCGGGCAACGTAGCGCACAGATTGCCGTGCTTTTCTTAGTAGAGAAGCGTCGGATTCACTCCTGTGGTCCGAGCGAGTCGGAGTCTGTGAGGTGTCTTTGTGGGACATACACGCGAACTCGGAAGTCATAACTGATTTAGCTTAGGGGCTCGTTCTTGAGGCAAACAGGGTTTCTGTGCCGCGAGCGACAACAAAGACGATAATCCTGGAGCTTAACACCTGAAAACTGCGGCCAAACGATACCAAACGAATCAAGGGTTCAGATTCCAAATGCTGACGGCCACGATTGCAGTGATAATGGCAAGGACACCCCAGAACCTGGGCTTCAAGAACTGTCTTAGCAACTTGCACAAATAAACCTCCGAAGCATCTCAGCTTGCTGAGCAGGGGGCTTCCTCCATCGCATCCACAGTGGGATCTGCTGAATCTGTTGCTGTCGTGGTTCCGAGATGGACGGCGACACTGTGCCGACGTCATGAATGTCGGAATGGCTCGTGACGATTGCCGCTAGTGCCGCAGGAGAAGCACTCCTTTGAAGCACCACACGGGCCTCTTCACCCATGACAAGTCACCTTCTACCCGCTTCGCAGACCGCGAGCAGCGTTCCGTCCAGCGACCAGAGCTTCCGCTCGGCAGATGGAGCCATGCTGCGCAGCTGAGCGAAAACGACACACTCCATTGTCCTTCTCTCGTTGAATGTAGGAGTCAAAGCTATTCTAAAGGATCTTCACGCAAAGTGGTGGAGGCACCGAGCACTATACTTCTACACCAGCAATAGGCCGCACCTTGAGACTCAACATCCTGAGCATACTGCACATCAATAGCGATTGCCCTCAACACCTACAGTCATGTCAACATCGGGTGCAGACTGCGGGCAAGCTCTCGGCTCTGGTTAAAGTGTTACACTCTTGCTGCGCAGAGTTGTGCCTGAAGTTGCTCTTGGTGTGGGCATGGTGCTTGCCCGCCTACTCTACGCAGTCAAACTGCAAGTGGGTGCGGGTGCCTTGGTCATTGAAGCTTGAGCTCGGGCTGGAGTCTTCAGAGTTCGGCTGTGCTGCCGGGCTTGGGGAACAAACTGCGCACTTGGCCAACCTTCCCAAAAAAGCAGTTTAGGTGGCTTCCGAGCTCGTGCTTCGAGAACCCCGCTCACAGGCTTCATCGTGCGAGTGTGGAATGTTTTAGTGGACGACACAGGTTTGAACCCATCGGGATAGCAGCCGGGGGGATCTTGTGCTCGGGCTGTCGAATTGCAATACCTCCTGCTGTAGAATCTGTAGAACAGTCGTCAGGAGCCGACCTGGCCTGAAGGGGCTAAGGGGCGAGGCGGAGGCGCAGGTATAGTCGATCAAAAACACGCGTCGTGCACGAAAGCCACTGGGGCATACTCCCGGCGTGAACAATCACAGTTCTCGAACACGAGATATGCCATTGGTTAGAAAGGCAAAGGCTCTCAACGCTGCTTGGCACACTCTGGGATGGACATGGTAAGAGTAAGAGCACGACATGTTGCACACGACCCGTTTTGTCACCTTGCGTCTGTGCGTCTGTCCCTCAGTAGCTCGCCACGAACTGCTGACCTCGGACCCGATATCATAGGCTTTCGCGGCAGACGGGATCAAACCCTATCACGGAGACCACCCAAACTGAGCAGACAGCTTTGTCTGCAAGGAGCCCCGATTCCGGTGCTTGAAAGGACCTCTGAGCTTTCTGATGAGCGCGCGTCGCCTGTGAAGCCTCGAGGCAGCCCTCCACTTGTGAGGCTAGATGCGACAAGCTCAGCCACGTGGCGAAATCTCAACAGTTTTCGAAGCCTTCGAAGAGCTGTGATACACAAACGGTGCCGACGGCACAGCTCCGACACTGCTTTCGGTGTTGAGCCTTTAGACTCCGCGACCCACCAGAAACTCACAAGAACGTCCATGTACATCGGTAGGCTTCATGCTACAATGACTTGACCGCTAGAGCTCCTAACAGGGCGGGGCAATTCGTATGCAGCTCATCAGCTTTATTTTGGAGAGAACTTGCAGGCACCGCGTTTGTGCATGGCTTGCCTTCACTCCTAGTCCTAGACTGAAACCCCACGGCTACACCTGACCCAAGCGACACATCGGCGAGATCGACGGAGACCCCCGCGGCCTACTTCGGCTGCAAGGGCGAAAGCACAAGCGTCCAGGATCGGGCACAGCAGGTAGGACGATGAGGCCAAGCGCAAAGCTGGCGAAACATGCACATGCGCATAAAATGTGGCCTTCCGCACCTAACTTCTTACGCCAACTACCAAGCAGTCTCGATATGAGCGCCGTGTTGTAGACCTGGCTGATTACGTCAACTCTCGGCATGCAGTCTATTGTTTCTGTTGTTTTTTCTTCAACCGTTGTCTTTACTTCAATCTCCTGCAGTATATATCCAGAGCAGACCTGAGAGCCCTGCCGGGGCCATAGCCCGCCGGCACCTGCACCTGCGGGGCGACGCAGCTGAATAGCCAGCTCGAAACCCCGCGAAGAGGGGTAATCACCGAAATCCTCAGCTTGTTGAGGATTACTGTAGCTTGGGTAGGTGCAACGGGAAGCTCGTCCGACAGGCTCGGCATCACTGCTGCTTAAATAAGCCGGCCGTCGTCACAAATCGCAGTAGTTATACTACAGTACTTCACGTTCAATTCGTTTCAAGCGCTGCCGGACCAACCAGAACCTCGTGCTCGCATATCCGTAGACGAGACCCGAGATGCCCTTCGCCCTGCCCAGGATACCCCAGGACACCATAACCCTGAAGCCTACTTCATGCAAAGGATTCCTGGAGAGCAAACTCCGACACCCGGCCCGGCCTGAAGCATCTGTCCTTCCTCGGCTGGGTCAGGAGCGGTCATCGCACTTTTCCCCGAGAAACCAACGAGATCCCGAATGATGAAACCTTTGACGCCCTGAACTCTGCAGCCTGGCGTCCGGAGTTTGAACTTGTACCATCTGGCCAGCACTGACACCTCTCAGTTGCTAGGCGAGCGTTCATTTGGTACGAGATCTTCGCCGAAGTCCAAGGATATGCAAGCACAACCGCGCCTTGTGGCACCGTCACCTGCAGCTGGCGAACTCCTGGCCCAAGCCCAGTCTGAAAACACATGGGAGGTCTTCGAGCGCACAAGTGCCATAGCAGCAGCGCATGTCATGGCGTGAAAAAAGAGTCCCAGTGGACGAGATCTTGTTGTTCTGACCGGTTTTAGGTCTCCGGAGCTCTGGCCCAAAATTTGAAAGCCCTGCACTCCTGTACACTCCGTGACACAGGTTTCACGTTTCTGCACACCCGGGAAGGCACATTTAATGTTGATTGCAGCTAAGTTTTGCTTGTCAACGCTTTTGGTCTGTCCGGTTCGGATTCTCGACTCCACGCAGTTTCTTCGTCCCTTATCCCTTGCTGTCCTCCAACTTGGAAGCCCTCATCCCGAATTGTGGAATGGCCTTGCATCTCCAGCATCGGAGTTGCCCGCAGCTGCCGCGGATCGATAGAGGCTCGCGAGGAGCGGGAAGAGGACGACGCACTGCAAGGCAACGTTTACGGTTGCAGATCATGACCAAGACTTTGAGAATTGACGGCCGAGCGCCACACATGCTGGAGCGGGCATCATCGTGGTCACAGAACATGTGGTGGAGCGACGGGTCCAGATTCCTGCGTGAAGCGAAGATAAGGGAAGTCCGATGGTCGAGTCAATACATTATCTAACTAAATTCTAAATAGCCAAGAGTTGCTGATTTGAAGGCCTTGTATGATTGCCTGTAGTTCCACTTGGCTGGGCCTATATGACAAGAACTTGTACTTTTAGCGAATCGTGGAGGCGGGCGGCGAGGGGCGAGTTGATGCTTAACCTGCACCAGGCCCTGCTGGCTTCAACCAAACCTCAAACGATTCAGAGCACCAGCTGGGCCTCAGATTATCGGGCTCCTCTGCAAAGCACATGATAATCGTTGAAGCCTTGCTTGTAGACCGCTGGGAGATTCGGATTGCGTCCGCGTCCGCAGGCTTTGCTATTTGGGGACAGTCGGTATTCGGTATATGCAGGATCCAAAGGCTCCTTGGCTAGTCGGGGCGCGATGGGGCGTGCAGCTTGACTTCAACAAATCGTTCGTCAAGAAACCCTGTCTCCATCACGTCCGGAACAATCAAAAACGAAGGGAACTATTGCCGTGGTTCTGACGGAAACTTGCTTTCAAGCGCTGTTCTACTGACAGGGTTGCGCATTTACGACCTACCGAAAAAACAATTCACGGCTGCTCAGCCTACCTCGTATAGCCCGAAGATGAACAGAAAAAGCGACAATGAGATTAAGGAGAATGGAAACGCGCAATGAACCACCAAAACCACCACTACCAACCTCGGCAGCAGCAGCAACAACAACAACGACAACAACGCTCCACGCCTGTGTAAGCAAGCGCAAGGACACGTGACGGCAACGTACGTTTTGCGTGGCCTGCGTGAGACGAACAACATGTCACGTTTCGGGAACATGCGTTTTGACTCTTATTTGCCAAGGTTTTGGGCAAAAGCCTGAAAATCTCGAGTTTTGTAAGGTTTTCGTGAGAAGGACCATGTTTCGCAGCATGTTTTTTTCAAGTTGTTTGTTCTTGGTTGTTGGTGTGTGTTTGTTTTGCGAAAGTGTCGCAAATAAAACAGTTATCGTTGGTTTTTGTTCATTTCTGAAGTTTTTGTTTGGAGAGCTCAGAAAACGCGAATTTGTTGTATTGGTGGCGTCTCAAAAGTAACGTAACAACAAGGCAACAGCGAGCAACATTGTCATTGTCATAGTTATCACCGTAGGTATCGTCATCGCCATTGTTATCTTCCGCATAAGCAATCAACATCGTGCAAAACAACATCAACATCATCAACATCCCCCCCTCCGCACCCATGCACAGAGCAAGAGCCCCCGAAATCGTTCCACCTTCCGCGGTGGCAAACGCGCCTGCTGCCAACAACAACTACTACAAGAACAGGACGTCATCATGGGTAGGCCATGGATGCTTTTTTCTCAGCGCGGACTAGACCACCGACGTCATCATGGTTGGGCCTTGGATGCTTTTCTCCGAACGGATTAGACCATGTGCGTCATCATGGCTCGGCTAAGGATGCTGCTCTCTTCTTAGAACGGATTAAACCATGCACGTCATCATGGTTGGGCCATGGATGCTCTTTTCTCAGAACGAAATACGCCATGGACGTCATCATGGTTGGGCCATGGATGCTTTTTTCTCAGAACGGATTAGAACCTGGTCATCATCATGGTTGGGCCATATATTATGTTGTCTTTTCAGAACGGATTAGACTAGACCATGGACGTCATCATGGTTGTGCCAAGGATGCCCTTTTCTCAGAACGGATCAAACAATGGACGTCATCATGGAATGTAGAGGAAACTCCGCAAATACCGAAGGTTGCGGTACTGCAGGCAAGGAAACGCCGAAAATACCGAGGTTTTCGGCACGTGCACAACTCATGAATTTGGAGGGGGGGGCAGGAACACCGACGGCACCGATATGTTCGGCACATGAATTAAGGAAAACCCCTAAAATCAGA